TTTCTCTTTTGTTGCTTATGATTTTGGTGTCATATCTAAGAATCCATTGCTAAATCAAGGTCATATTTATCCCTCTACTTTCTCCTAAGAGTTTTATGGTTTTAGCTCTTATGTGTAGGTTGTAGATCCATTTTGATCAGTTTTTGTATATGCTGTGACATAGGAGTCCAACTTCATTCTTCGCCATGTGGCTGTCTAATTCTTCCAGCATCATTTGTTGCAGAGACGATTCTTTCTCCCCTTGAACGGTCTTGGCACCCTTGTCAAAATGGCCTTAGATGTAAAACATTGGAATTAATGTATTAATTGGAATTAATGATAACTTTGGAATCTCTAAACCGAGTCCTAAAGCAAGAGGAGAGGCATTCCTCTGCATGTCTCAGGATCTTAATTGATTCCAGATGGCAAAGAAGCTCTCCATCTGTCAGGTGATCAACTGCAGCCTGGGAAGCCATCTCCTCTGTCCTCCTCAACTCCCCAGCATCACATACGCTTGGCCTCTGGACTCTGCATCCATGCTGAATGCAGCACGTGGACTTCACAGCCCCACAGCTCTGGGCAGGAGTGTCCAGCAGTCAGGCATGCCTGCTAGCTGCCTTGCAGGAGGCGATTTCCCAGAGGCTCATGTCATCCTCTAAAGGCTAATCCAGGTTGGGGGTCCCCTATACCGCCTGGCCCTAGCCCCTCTTACTTGGTCTCTCAGTGAGAATTTGGTTCCTAGGGAAAGGTAGAGCATCAGTGCCAAGAAGGGTCTTAGGGGAGTCTGGTCCAGGGGTTTGTAACCTGGAGTTGCCTGACTCAGGGAGACCGTGGATGGGCTTTGGGGACCTGGAAACTTCTGAACATGCAGGTGTGACTCTGAGCACATGTTGGGGAAATGTGTCCCACAAGGTTAAGAACAACTGAGTGTATCAGGTGACCAGCTAGACGCAGAACTGGTGTGAAGCCCCCACAACTCCCAGGAGAGCTGGCGTAGACCCCCTATAACTCCCAGGGCACTTGTTTAGTGTCTAGAGAGGTGACAGTGGTGATGTCTCAAGAGAGAGATGCCCACCACCCTCTTAGGCTCCTGCATTTTCCAAGGTTAACTTCGTCCTGGCATATACAGAAGGTGACCTTCTTGATATGTGAAGCCACCATGCGGTGAGTGGAAGCCCTGCCCACTGAGGCCTGCCTCACCGTCCTGAGGTCCACAGAGGTGAACACCCCTGGGCACACCCGAGACCAATCAGCAAGCTGCCTTGAGGGCTCAATTCTGCCAGCTGGAGCAGAGGGCCTTGGAAACCTATCCAGCTCGACTGCAGGTTGAACCTCCCTGATTCAAAAGTCTGAAATCCAAAACACCCCAAAATCCAACACATCCTGAACTCTGACACAATGCCAGAGTAGAAAATTCCACACCTGACCTCACGTGACAGGTCACAATAAAAATGAAGTTCAACTTTGTCTCATGCACAAAATTATTTAAAATATTGTATACAGCCGGGCTCGGTGGCTCAGCCTGTAATCCCACGCCTTGGGAGGCTGAGGTGAGTGGATTGCCTGAGCCCGCGGGTTCGAGACCTGCCTGGGCAACTTGGTGAGACCTCATCTCTACAATAAATAAAAAAATTAGCCGGGCGTGGTAGCGTGCGCCTGTAGTTCCAGCTAAGTGGAAAGCTGAGGCAGAAGGATCGCCGGAGCCCAGCAGGTTGAGGCTGCGGTGGCCGGGAGTGGCCACTGCACTCCAGTCTGGGCAACAGAGTGAGACTCCAACTCAAAAAAAAAAAATTGTATACAATATTTAGGCTATGTGTAAAAGGCATATACGGAACATAAATGAGTTGTATGTTTACACTTGGGCTGGGTCCCATCTCCAAGATATCTCATTATGCATATGCAAAGATCTCAAAATCAAAAAAATTCCAAAATCAGAAATACTTCTGGCCCGAAGCATTTCAGATAAGGGATACTCAGTCTGCAATGACTTTAGAAAATCTGAAATGCCCCCCACCCCCTGCCACCAATAAGTACACAAAACCCATATCCTATCCAAACCTATGACGATGGCTTGATTCAAGTTCTCCCTCCAAGAGAATCATGCCCATCTCTGATTACTTGATTAAACTCTTCCTCCAGGAAGACTTCCTTGCATAGCCTCTCCATACTGGTCATTTCTCAGCATTGCTGCACTAGGCTGACCTTCCCGATTTACACACTGTCTGTCTCTCTCCGCAGCCTGAGGTCACCTCCAGAGCAGACTCCCATGGGTCGGCCTCTAGCTTCCCAGCAAGGCTGGCACACACTTGTGAGGGAGGGGTGGTGGGCATATCGTCATTAGCGGGTAGACCATTTGGAGACATTGACAGACCGACAGGAGTGCCCCTCTGACATCACTCGAGGACAGTTTATTGAACTTACAGCCGAAATTCAGGGTCCTTAACCCAAGCAAGGGAGGGACCAGGTGCTGCCATTTTTAGAAATATTTACACGTCATCTGGGCTGGCGCTACACCCAGGGACAGAAGACCAAACTCCACTCACTGAGCTCAGCCCATGGCCAAGTTGAGAGTCTCTAAGACACAGCCCCAGAGAAAGGATCCAAGACACATCACGTGCCCACAGCCCTGACCAATGTACTTATGCCACCCTCGCCACAAAGAGCAGTGGATTCAACATCCCTTTGTTAAAGAGGCGGAGACATGCCGTGGACAGGACAGAGACCCTGGGGTCAGCCAGGCCTGACTGTGGCCATGCTGCAACTTCCCAGAGGACCGGGTACTGTCTGTTCCAGGGATCTGATCACATCTCCCTTACAGGGCTGGGTGAAACTAGAGGTGATGCCAGCAGGGTGCCTGGTATAGAGGAAGTGCTTGACAAATGGTTGCAGCTGTGTTGATGACAAAGAAGGCGGACAGGTGACCCAGGGTGGCAGGAAACCCCTCTTGCTCCTTTACCTGGCTTTGTGAATATGAGTGCAGCTGGTGGTCTGAGAAAGTACACATCATCTCCTAAGTAACAGAGTCTCCTACAGAGCCGTTTCTAGGGGGCAGGCAGAGGCTGTCTGACTTCTCACCTCCTGGCTGAAGGCCTCACATTCAACCCCACCCCCCACCTCAACCCTGCTGGTAGGGGAGGTAAGACCCCTCAGATCCTGCTAGCATGGCTGAAACACAGAGCAAACTACCCCTCCCTTCTCCTCTCTGCCTCTATCCCCCTCTCTAGGAACGACCATAGCTAACTCCAGACTGAGAAGACGATGATGGCTTGTACCTCCCAAGCCAGGAAAATGAGAAGTCCTAAGTCCACACGGGACCTAATTGAACAGGGAAGGTGACCGTGTCTACCAGAGCTTGATAAGCCTCGGTGCAGACAGTCGAGTGTGCTATGCACAGTGTTACAACTCAGGGACCGAGGATGGGGGTGTGGCAGACATCTTTGGGCGGTGGCAAAATCATCTCTTCTTGCAGGTGCTGAGGGGGGTGGGGCCGTGGGCCTAGTGGGTGGCTTTCCTGGCTGGGGCTCTGGCTGGGACGCTCTTGTCCTGAGAGTCCTTGAGGTCTCCCCCTCGCCCTCCTTTGGTCTTGGTCTGTCTGCTTCGGGCACTGCTGGAGCTGCCCACCACACTGCTGGTCCTGAGGTTGGCCACGGAGCTGGGGTGGAAGCTGTAGGTGCTGTTGCTGATGACAGCTGAGGAGGAACGGAAGAGAGCAGGGAAGGAAGACAGTGTCAACCAGCAAGTGACAGCCAACATAATGGCTGTCTCCGAGGGCTTCTCTACATATGACGCCCTCTTTAACCTACTCCGAGAACCCTCAGCAATCAAGAAACACAACAGAAGTGAATTAGGACCCCAGTATGTGCCAGACTTCATGTGAGGTGAGGACCACATAGGATAGGTGCGTCCCTATCCTCCTGAGGAATCTAAGTCCATATTCCCAACCTTATTTCTAAGTGACAATGCCCCAGGGGGGGACTAGCAGAGAAAGAGGAGGGCATGACCTTAGTCACAGCTTCCACAGGGCAAAAAGGTAGGTCTGCTCTGAAGTCAGAGAACCATCACAAGACAGCAACAGAAACTTCTGGATGGGGGGGGGGTGGTGAGGCCGTGCACACAGGTGGTGCCATTTTGTCCCAGGGTCCCTGGCTTTCCCAACCCAATCCATTTCTCGGGAATACTCACAGATGCTCACAGAAGATGGATTGTCACCAGACATCCTGCAGGACAGAAAATTTGAGAAGGATAAAACTTAGAAGTCTCTAGATTCAGCCAAACTTTCATGGGCCCCTGGTTTTATATGTATGTCTTTTTTTGTTTTGGTTTGGTTTGGTTTTTGGCTTTTTGTTTGTTTTTTTGAGTCAGGGTCTCATTCTGTCACCCAGGCTGGAGTGCAGTGGCACACTCATGGCTCACTACAGCCTTATCCTTCTGGGCTCAGCCAATCCTTCCACCTCAGTCTCCTGAGCAGCTGAGACTACAGGTGTGCACCACCACGCCCAGGTAATTTTTCTTCTTTCTTTTCTTTTTTTGTATGAGCTAGGTTTTGCTATGCCACCCAGGCTAGCCTCAAACTCCGGGGCTCAAGCAATCCTCCCACTTCTGCCTCCCAAAGTGCTGATGACAGGCGTGAGCCATCATACCTATCCGTACATCGTTGTAACGCATCCTTCCGACAACCCGTGAGATTGAGACTATAACCTCCGTTTTACAGATGAGAACACATGAGGCCCAGAGTCTTGAGATGATTTACTAGGATCACACAACTACCATGTGGCGAAGACAATAACTCATCCCAGGTCTCTGCGCCCCCTCCCCACCCCACCCCCGACTCTTCCCACAGCACTACCTGTGCTTTGTGGCTCACATCTGATGTCCCCTTGCAAGACGCTGCAGCTGAGCCCACCAAACCACTGCATTCCTTATTTGAGTTGCCGCTGGAGCTGCTGTTCTCCTCTTCCAGCTCTGCCAGCAGCCCCCCACAGCCCCCCACGGCCCCGTCTCGCAGTGTCCCCTTCACCCACTCACCTGCACTCCTCGCCCTCCAGCAGCTTCCGGTAGGTGGCGATCTCCATGTCCAAGGCCAGCTTCAGGCTCATGAGCTCCTGGTACTCACGCAGCATCCGTGCCAGCTCCTCCTTGGCCTGGTGCAGGGCGCCCTCCAGCTCATCCAGCTTGGCCCGGGCATCCCTGAGGGCACAGTCTCCCCGCTGCTCAGCATCGGCGATGGCGGTCTCTAGGTTGGTGCACTGAGAGGCAAAGAACAGAGAGACTATCAAACAGAAAATCATCTGTGGCTCACATGAGCTAAGTGGAGCAACACTCCTATTCTGCAGATAGGGCCCGAGGTAACAACCACTGAGAATTGTAAAGCCAATGCCTGGTCTTTGCTTCTGGTTGTAGACAGATACTTGGAGGTGTTGTCATGGGAAGCCATGGAGGCATTTCAGGAGTGCAAAGACAGAGGTCAATGTCTGCAAAGTTAGGTCGTGCCTGGAGCTGGAGGCCAACAATGTCTAGACTCAAAGACCTCCAGGTCAGGAGAATCAAGCTCGATATCCCAGCCAAGACCCCGTAAGAATCAGACAGTACGCCAAAGCCCCACTGCCGTCAGATTCCTGCTGCAGGACATCTCTGCTGAGGAGGCCCTTTCAACTCGTTAGCACCCTGAGTGTTTCTGGAATCTTCCAGCATTCTGCAGGGAGGGTCTGTCTGAAGGCTCCCACACCTGACCTGAATGGATGAGGGAGCCTTTTCTAAGGGTAGGAGGCTGCTAGTTGGTTATGAATGGATCCAGGATTAGAACCTTCCCTCAGAACAAGAGGTCTCCAATGGGTTACGAATGGATCCAGGATTAGAACCAGGATTAAAACCTTCCCTTAGAGCAAGAGATCCTCTGCTGGTTTTGAATAGATCCAGGATTAGATTAGAACCTTCCCTTAGGGTAGGAGGTATCCAGCTGGTTATGAATGGATCCAGGATTAGAACCTTCCTTTAGCATGAGGTCTCCAGATGGCTGTAAATGGATCCAGGATTAGAACTTTCCCTCAGAACAGGAGGTCTCCAGCTGGTTATGAATGGATCCAGAATTAGAACCTTCCCTTGGAGCAGGAAGTCTCCAGAGGGTTAGGAATGGATCTGGGGTTAAAACCTTCCCTTAGAGTAGGAGGTCTCCAGTGGTTTATGAATGGATCCAGGATTAGAACCTTCTCTTAGCGCAGGAAGTCTCCAACGGGTTAGGAATGGATCCAGGATTAGAACCTTCCCTTATAACAGGAAGTTTCCAGTGAGTTATGAATGGATCCAGGATTAGAACCTTCCATTAGAACAGGAGGCTTCCAGTGAGTTATGAATGAATCCAGGATTAGAACCTTCCCTTAGAGTAGGAAATCTCCAGCGGGTTAGGAATAGATCTGGGATTAGAACCTTCCCTTAGAACAGAAGGTTTCCAGCGGGTTATGAATGGATCCAGAGTTAGAACCTTCCCTTATAGTAGGAGGTCTCCAATGGGTTATGAATGGATCTAGGATTAGAACCTTCCCTTAGAGCAGGAAGTCTCCAGAGAGTTAGGAATGGATCCAGGATTAGAACCCACTTTCCTCTTTCTCTGGCTTTTTCTGTGTTTAACAAATCTTCCCCATGTCCCTGTCAGGCATCCCCCAAATGGGTCCAGGATTAGAACCCAGGAGGATAAGGCCCTATGCTACAGGTGCAGCCCCTGAAATTGGACTCTGGTGAACACACAGGGCATGGTGATGCCTGATACTCACAGAGGGGGAGAACAGTCCTCATGGGAGCCATAAGTCAGCCACATGTAGAGTCTGAAAGCTGACCCATGTTTCCTCACATTGTCTGGAGGGCTGTGGCACTCAGAGGGGACAATGGGCTCAGATCTTTCGGTGGCAATTCTATCACCAGTGGAGCTGACCTGATTCCCCAGGAGTTCACAAGAAGATTCCTCCCGCCTTCAAAATCATCTTCCCACTAATGCAGTGTTTAAAATTGACTGCTCTCAGGAAAGAGAGGACTCCCAGCTAAGATGGGAATGGCACCATGGCACAGGGCAGGGACCCCAAGAGGGCTTCGTCCACTGCCATGTCCCTCGGACATCTCAGTCACGTCCTACTCTGAGGGCAGGAACATAGCATGGCCACAGAGGGGTCTGATGCACACCCCTGCACCGCACACGTGTTCCATGTCCAGTGGGAGGAAGAGGCACCGGGCCTGCCCTCAGAGGGGACACTGACAGGGACATGGGGCAGGTTTGCTGGACACCACATGTCCGAGAAAGAGGAAGCCTGTGTTCTCATCCTGGCTCCGTTTGTAGCCACCTGGGGAAACCTGGGCAAGTCCCTTCCCCTCTGCAGCCCGGCTGCCTCCTCTGTAAACTGGGGAGTCTGAGACTCAGGCTTGAGGCTTCCCCCCACTTCTGAGCAGGGTCCAGCTCTGATGGAAGGGGCACCAAGGCAGGGTGGGGAAGAGGGGCTGTGGCTGGTGGGGACTCCTGCTGGTTCCTAGAGGACACCACCACGCCTCGGGGCTCCTAGTGGGGTCACTGCCCACCTGCTTCCTCACGTTCCCGACCTCACCCCGGATCCTCTGGATGAGCCGGCTCAGCTCCGACATCTCGCCCTTGGTGTGTTTCAGGTCGTCTCCGTGCCGGCTGGCCGCCAGCTGCAGCTCCTGGATCTGGTGTCACAGATAGAAAGTGGGTGATGAACGAGGGAGGGGAGGGCCTGCGGGTGAACCACATCTGCCACCCTTGCTGTCGGTGGGACTCAGAGGCCCTGAAAAGGGTCGCTAGCGTGGGGCCTGGGGAGAGCCCAGGTAAAGGGTTTTCTCCCTGACAGCCTGGAAGGCTTTACCCCAAAGCTCCCCGCCTCAGAACACTCTAGACTTCCACTTCCTTCAGGAAGTCTTCCCACACAGCTCCGGAAGGTACTCAGAGCTCCTCCTTCTCTCACTCCCCCCGAGTCCCAGCCCTCCATGGCGCTTCTCCCTCATGCATGTGACTCCTGTACCCTGCAGCAGTGTGTTTTAGTTTCACAGTGGGAACCCCTCACTTCTTTCCTGCATCAGGGGACTGCCTATCCCTCTCTGTGGGACATGCCCATCCGTGCCAGTTTCCTGATCTACCTTTGATAGCAATCTCTGCCCAAGATTCTTTTTGCCATCGAGCCCTCGGTTGTAACCATTCTTTCATCCAGCACACCCACAAAGACATCTCTCCAATTCCTTCCCAGGAGGGAGGGGCCCATGGGAGAGGGAGACGTGCCCACGGTCCACTGCCCACCTTGGTCTGGTACAGGGCCTCGGCCTCAGCCTTGCTCTTCAGGGCGATCTCCTCATAATGGACGCAGACCTCGGCGATGATGCTGTCCAGGTCCAGGTTCCGGTTGTTGTCCATGGACAGGATGACGGAGGTCTCACTGGCGTGAGTCTGGATCTGGGCAATCTCCTGCATTGAGAGATGGGACAGAGTCAGGATCCTACTGGCCTTCCTCCCCTGCCCCATCAGTCTCCTGGGCCCGTGATTCCTGGCAGAATGGGTCACTGGGAGCCACAGGGCTCAAGCAGAGGGGAGGAGTGCCTGCTGGGGAGTGTCTGTGGGTCTGGGGGAGAGTGCTCCCCATGGGGCAGCAAGCAGAATGGCATTTCCTGCCATTTCCCAGAAGGAAGCAGTCTGTGTGTCAGGAGGACCTCGCTGGCCCATTTTTTCCTGCCTGTGAGCGTGGTCAATGTTGTGTCCAGATCAATTTCCTCCTGTATGTGTGATCTCCAGGGACCAGGGCCCTGTACTTCTGTGGTCTCCTAGAGGAAGGTTTTGCACTTTCTACCAACACATCTTCCATTGTATCCACCCTAAATCTCTCTGGAAGAGTCGAGGGAAGCCCTCAACTGGAAAGCGATGGTAGGGCTGGGGGAAAGGGTGTGTGCTCACCGCATCGTACAGGCACTTGAGGAACTTGATGTCTTTGTCCAGAGAGTCCACTTTGGCCTGAAGTTCCACCTTGCCTGCATAGGCTGCATCTACGTCCTGCCGAGAGGCACCCAGAGCCGTCAGTCAGTACAGCCCTCCACCCACAGCTGTCCTGGCCCTGTCTCCAAAGCCATCCAATTTATTTTTGCCCACCAAGGGAAGCATATGGATGAATAAAGTCACTCGGTATCCATGCTCCCTCACTGAATCTTTGGGATAAGGGAAAGGAGGATGGGGAGGGGCGATGCTGCTCTTCCTGTGTTATGCCAGGAGAAAACAAAGCCCAGAGAGGTAGTATGTTTCCTTAGGTCACACAGAAAGGCCAAGCTGGACCAGAGTTTCCCAGCTCAGACTGGAATGTTCTCCTGTCTGTGTCTATTTCTTGAGTGTGTGTCCTTCCTCTTTGATTCGCCAGAGGCCAGGACTATGATGCCCCTGTTCTCAGGCACCGACGCTGTCCTGGACAACCTGGGTGGAAGTCCTGAGCAAAGCTATCTAGGAGGGGGTGGGAGAGAGACCAAAATCAGAGGCCCCTCTCCCCCTTACCTTCTTGAGCACCACAAACTCGTTCTCAGCTGCTGTGCGCTGGTTAATCTCCACCTCAAACCTGCAAGCAGGGAGAGAAGACGAAAGAGGCCTCAGTTCCCTGAACTAAGGAGGCTCCTCTTCCCACTGGCCAGGCAGATGCTTGGGATGCAGAGTCTCCAGCAGGGTCTCCAGCATGAGCACCAAGAGGCCAGTGGCAGGAGAAAGATGTCCCTGGGTTGTGTGGCTTGCATCCCACTCCCTGCAGCCTAGGAAAGCACCCAGGTGCCTACAGGGCCCCCAAACCAGCAATGGAAACTCTCAGTGAGTCTGCAAGCGGAGAGGACTCCTTCCTACCAACCAGATAGGAAGGGCTCATCAAATGCGGAGGGCCTTCCCCCACCACCAGAGAAGGGGAGATGAGCCCCCAGCCCCCGAGCTTGCTCCCTTTCCTCCTAAAAGTTGGCAGAGGTTTGGTGAGCCCAGAGCCACTGGGAACAAGATGTGTGACCCTTTGGTGGGGCCCACTCACCTCTTCTTGTAGTCCTCCACCAGGTCCCTCATGCTGCGCAGCTCGGAGTCCAGCCTCACCCTGTCCCCAGCCAGCGCCTCCAGCTGCTTCTGTAGGCTGGTGATGTAGCCCTCGAGGATGGGCTCCAGGTTCTTCGTGCAGTTGCTCAGGTCCAGCTGCTGCAGCAGCTCCCACTTGGTTTCTAGAACCTGGTTTTGCTGCTCCAGGAACCGCACCTAGAACCCAAATCGGGACACTCAGAACCACAGTGGATGCTAGCATGCACCATGGACATACACTATTGACTCCCCAGGTCAAATAGATTTGTGTGTGTGTGTGTTTGTGTGTGTGTGTTGGGGTCTCACTCCATTGCCCAGACCTGAGTGCAGTGGCACCATCACAGCTCACCACAGCCTCAACCGCCTGGGCTCAGGAGATCCTTCTGCCTCAGCCTCCTGAGTAGCTGGGACTACAGGCATGTGCCACCACACCTAACTTTTTGATTTCTTATAGAGATAAAGTATTGTTAAGTTGTCTAGACTGGTCTCAAACTCCTCAACCTCCCAAAGTGCAGGGATTATAAGCGTGAGCCACTGCTCCCAGCCCAAATAGATTTTTGTAATGTCATTTTGTTCAAGTCCTGTCCCTGCTCCCTGACATTCCATGCAAACCAGACCCTTCACAAGTGCTCATTCCATAACCTTCTGGACAAGCAATCCCTGGAAACTCAGTGAAGAAGGAGGGTCCACAGCTTTCTTCTGTTGCTTGGCCCTGGTCCCAGATGTCCCTCCTTATGTCTTAGCTAAGTGTTTCTTCTGTACCACAAGCCCTTCCCTCGGAACAGTGCTGGATTCCTTTAGCCCTTTGTGTTCTTTGAAGGCCTGGGGAACCACCCAGGTGTCCTCCGGAAACCCACCTCTTCTTTCTCAAGGTAGGGCCAATCTTACCCAGCTTCCCACCCCTCTCTGAAAAATCCCCAGGGAAGGCAATAAATACATTCAATACATTGCACCCTCTGTCCTGCCAGGCTCACAGATCTGCTGTTTTCTCCCTTATGAGGGAAGCCTTCCTGAGGCCCAGCCATGCCTCCCCATCCACAATGTCCTGTCCACTCCCAGGCAGCAGGTACTTTGCACAGGCCTCGTGGGACAGCCTTCTCCTCTTCCCGTGAGACCCACCTTGTCGATGAAGGAGGCGAACTTATCATTCAGAGCCTTGATCTGCTCCCGCTCCTGGGCGCGCACCTTCTGGATCTCGGGGTCCAGCTCCACGGTGAGGGGCGCCAGGAGGTTTTTGTTGACGGTGACCTGGTGGATGCCCCCAGGTGGGCACATGGAGGGACACACGGGCCCCAGGGCCATGCTACCAAACATGCTGCCAGCAAAGCCACTGGCCCGTCCCCCACCATATCCAGCCCCATGCCCGAAGCCATACCCTCCAGCCCGAAGGCCGCTGACAGCCACATTGAAAGAAACGTGCCGATTCCCTCCGAAGTTGTAGAGGCTCCTACTGCCGAAGCCAGGCCCAGCCCCTCTGCCCGCGGCACGGTGGGAGGACAGGCTGCCCACGGCCTTCCTGGGCACCACCGCCGAGTGCACACTGAAGCTGCCCTTGTTGCCACCGGACTTGACGCTCAGTTGCCGACTCATGGTGGGAAAGGTGGGTCTGACCAAGCCAGGGAGAAGCAGTCGCCCAGGGGCAGAGGACACGCTGATGGGGCGCTCGGAGTGCTGCCTCCTTTTATCCCTGTCGACTCAGGACACCGGAAAAGGGCGTCTCTCCACAATCTCCTTTCCTCTGCAGTAGGGCCAGGGGCCACGGGCAATTTGCAGAGGAGAGATGTCCAAACCCTTTGCAGCTACAAAGCCCTCTGATAGTAGGTGGAATATGCTGCCCTTGCAGACCAGAGTGGTCTAATTTGGGGCTTATCTGTGCTCCCTAATTAGGGACCTGCAGAGTTATCCCCTGCAGAGATCTCCTCGCTTTATTTTTCCAGGACTTCTTTCTTCTTGCTTACCCATTGGCAGGAGGCAGGGGAAGTGCCTGGCATCTGAAAACCCCACGTTTCCTTCCCAAAGAAACCATCTCCCTAACATCTAGCCTTGTTGAGAAGCTGGGGTGTTTATGTCAGAGCAGAGAAGACTTGGAAAGGAGATGATTCTTCTTGGAAGGGTGTCCTCAAAGATCTCGATTCTGTAATGGGGTTGTTTGTTTTTTTCTTTTCAGCACGTTTGAGTTTCTTGTAGATCCAAGATGTTAAGCCTTTGTCAGACCTGGAGTTGGCAAACACTTTTTTCCAGTCTGTAGGATGTCTCCCTGCTCTCTTAATGGTTTCTTTGGCTTTGCAGAAGCTTGTCAGTTTAATGAGGTCCCACTTGTCTATCTTATCTCTTATGGCCTGTGGATTTCGGGTTTTGTTCAGGACTTGGATGCCAGTTCCAATTTCCATGAGGGTATGTCCTTCATTTTCTAAGGTTCTTATTGTTTGAGGTTTTACATTTAGGTCTCTGATCCATTTAGAGTTAATTTTTGTGTATGGGGATAGATAGGGGTCCTGTCTCAATCTTCTGCATGTGGTCAGCCAGTTTTCCCAGCACCATTTACTGAATAGGTTCTCCTCTCCCCAGTGGTAGGTGGTGGAGGCTTTGTCGAAGATGAGTTGGTTGAGAAATTGAGGTTTTGCTTCTGCAATCTCAATTCTATTCCATTGGTCTATATGCCTGTTCCTATATCAGTACCAAGCTGTTTGATTATTGTAGCATTATAGTAAAGTTTGAAGTCTGGTAATGTGATACCACCTGCTTTGTTTTTGTTTTTGTTTTTTGCTGAGGATTGTTCTGTCTATTCTTGGTCATTTGTGTTTCCATATGAATTCCTGTGTTGTTTTTTTCTAATGGGTAAAAGATATGAACAGACACTTCTCAAAGGAAGACATCTGAGCAGCCAACAGACACATGAAGAAATGTTCAACCTCACTAATCATCAGGGAGATGCAAAACAAAACCACACTGAGATACCACCTAACTCCAGTCAGAATGGCAATTATCAATAACTCAAAAAATAACAGTTGATGGAGAGGGTGTGGCGAAAAGGGAACACTTCTACATTGTTGGTGGGAGTGTAAACTAGTGCAACCTCTGTGAAAACAGTATGGCG